ATGATAGTAGCAACTGCTGTAGTGAACTAGCTACACTCAACCAGCCAATTAGCTGTGTGTGGCTATTGGCTAGTGTGGTGGACACCAATGATCTAGATTCTAGAAGAAGCTACTTGACTTCATCTGTTGCCATTGCCTTTCTTACCCAAAGGAAAAAGTAGTTGACTCATGACTTCTGGCTAAATGACTGCAGATAAAAGTACAACAGCGCCTCTGTATTAATAGCTGTCAGGATTTTGGGACACAGCAGTGTTCTAATCATGATTGCTGACAGCAGTCTGGAAAATGTAGGAGTCTGATAGATCACAGGATGTTAGGAGAGGAATCATGGGAATTTCTCACTTTGACCCCCAACTCCCAGAATGCACAGAGCTCAGTAGCAAAATAGTGCAGTATGGGGTATCTTACAGAATGCTGTGTGCTTATTTAAAAAAAAAAAAAAAAAAAGCCAAACTCAGCACTGTGTGGCTGCATTATTCAGAAGGAAGTGGATTAAAGCAGGACCTGTGTACAGATCTGTTTTGTGTGGTCTGTAGAAGTTCATATGCAAAAACATACCAAATTCTCTACACCAAGTGGAAGAGTAAAATATATCTAGGAAAGAATAGCCTCCTGTTGCAGCATGTGTGGCTATAGCTTCAATAGAAACACAGCACAAATGTGTTACTTATGTCGTACTTTTAAGAATCTGTATACTAAAGTGCTTCTGCTCCTCCTGTATCTTGATAGGTTTTTAGTAGGAAAAGATGAAAAAATATTGAAGGACCTGTTTTGAAGAAAATTTTTATAGATAATGTAGTTAATATTTTGTATACTTGTATTTACTCTGGATAGATGTTCTCATAATAAAAAAAACCTTAATATTTATAACTTGCAGCGTGGTATGTTTGAAAATGCTGCTGAATTACCTACTTAGACAGGAAGCAGTGAGCTTGGCTCTTTGTTTTCTGAAAGAAACATAGCTCTAACTTAGGAGTTATAGTATATGCATTGTCTCAAACTGTATATATTACTAGTTTGACAAGGTGTAACCGTTTGGGGCATGACTCACGGCAAGCCTGAGTCCAGAGCCTCAATGGCCAGGTGGCCACTAATTAACAGTTCTAATGACCAGCTGATCTAGGGCCGGGCAGTAAATCAACAATTAAATCAACAACAGTGTTCCGGCAGGCTACCCCACAGTTAGGGAGCCCAGGCCCTGAGTCAGGGCAAAACAACAAATAAAGGCTTATATAGTAGTCTTAGGGGCTGCATAGCAGTTTGTGAGCCCAGGTCCAGAGTCAAGGCAAGGGAGCAACCACACGGGCAAACACTAGGGTGGTTCCTCGGTGCAGGCCTGTTTGCAGGCTGAGCCAGGGGTTGGCACTCCTCGCTGGCGGAGAGCCGACAAGCGCAGAGGTTTTTCCCCACAGAGGGAAACGTGCCACCCAGGGGAAGAGGTGGCAGGGGATGTGGGCCCTCCCTACTCCAAGGCATCCCAGCCCAGGGCCTTAACAGTAGCAATGTGGCAGCCACTGGACTGGAGGGGGCTCCAGGCCATAATGCACCATCCAGGTTGGTGGATCAGTGGGGGTCTGAACCGTAGTGTGCTGCCCACCCCACCTCCATTTCTTCAGCCATCCCAGGGTCAGCTGTCACTGGGCCACTTCCCTGCTCCCCTTGGGGGCCTACCTGGATTGGTTGCCACTCCTTGTCGACTAGGAACAGGGGTGCCAGCAGGGAGTCCATTGGCTTGAGACCCTGGGTACGCAAGGGTCCCAGCAGTCCTGCCAACTTGGTGGGATCTTGCGTAAATCCTGAGGGTCCCAACAGATTTGTAGGCCCGGGTGGCAGCCTCTACTGGTGTGTCCTGGGATCTAGATCCAGCAGCAGCCGGGGGCGGTCTAGGCCTGGGCTCAGGGCCTGCTGGTGGCCCAACTCAGTCATTCACCAGAGTGTGGCAGAGCCTCTGCCCTGCTTGGCAGCTGTGCCCTGACTGAGCTGGGAGCTCCCCTTCTTATATCCCTAGATCTCACTTCCTGTGGGCAGGGCTGGGTGATTCTGGCCCTGTCCACCAAGGGGCTTCTGTGGGAGTTTCCTCCTTTGAGTCAGCAAGAGGCCACACTGAGGGTACGTCTAGACTACATGCCTCTGTCGCCAGAGGCATGTAGATGAGGCTACCAGGCATAGGAAAATGAAGCGACGATTTAAATAATCGCCGCTTCATTTAAATTTACATGGCTGCTGCGCTGAGCCGATCGCTGAGCCAACAAACAGCTGCAGTAGTCTGGACGCGCGGGTGTTGACATAAAAGGCATTTGTCGACCACCCAGGGAAACCTCATCCCAGGAGGCATACCTGGGTGGTCGACAGATACCTTTGATGTCGACACCCGCGCATCCAGACTACCGCGCTGAGCCCACAAACAGCTGATCGGCTCAGCGCGGCAGCCATGTAAATTTAAATGAAGCGGCGATTATTTAAATCGTCGCTTCATTTTCCTATGCCTGGTAGCCTCATCTACATGCCTCTGTCGCCAGAGGCTTGTAGTCTAGATGTACCCTGACTCACTACACAAGGACATAAAATATTATTCTGTTCATTTTATGTGCACAATTGATGTATTGATAGAGACGTTGCTGTAAGATGCAGTATCATCTAGTTGTTTATCTCTTTAGTCTATTAATAAAAATTAACATGAGAGCTTTTCTTAATGGATTGCATCTGCATGGAATCCCTCTCCTACAAATATCAAGATAGTGAAGAGAATGATCTTTCTATTATACTATGATTCAAATGGAACTACTGTTTTCTCAGCTGACTCTTGGAGAACTTCCTCTGTGAAACCTTGTGCTGTATGCCCGAAGGTCATGGATGATGTATTGCTTACTAAAGCCTTTAGTCACATGTGAAATATTGAAAGCCAAATATGTGTCTGTCTTTTCTAGTTGCCAACATTTAAAATTTCTTATTTGGATTATCATCCTTTCTTGAACATGCTTTCTAAGAAGATGCCACTTCTATGACTAGGGATTAGTTAAGTTAATAGCGTTTTGGTGGGAGGAGGAAAAACTGGAATTTCAAAATGGGATCTCAAGTTTGGCATAGTTCAAAACAATCAAATGAGTGGATTTTTAAAATCTGTCCTGAAATCTAGTAAGTATTCCATATGAATACTTCAGGCTCAGCAGAGTTTAGAGTTTACAAACTCAGTGATAGTGGCTTCTGAGTCTTATAAAAATTTGCAAACTGTTCAGAGGCTGAAAAGTTAGCAGGATCAGAAAGTCTGATGCAGGGGCTTATCTTTGTAAACATGTCAGATGGACTTTATGAACTAGAGAAGCCTACAATGCCTATTGAAAATAATCTATATAAATTTACCAGGATGCTTGTGCCGGTGATGAAAGCTGCTCGCTTTCTGGGACATAGGTTATATGTACTACAGTGTAGATGGGCAGTCTTAACTGTAGATGGCACTAACACCATTATAAGATCCTGTTGCTTATTAAACTGTTTTAGGCTAAAATTTTCCATGTTGGGTGTTTCTCTCAGGTGGATTTTGTTTTTTAAACAGGTCAGACATATCTCAGAATGAAGATAGGGAAAAAGATGTTAATTGTTTTGCCCACATTTAAAAATATTGTCAACTATTTCATTGAGAAGCTTTATTGTTTCTATTTTTTGGAGCCGGGACTTGAAACTTTTGCAAATTTTCCCTTTGGTAGTGAAATATCTTTTGTCATGTTGTGAACATACATCTGGATTTAGCCTTATATTGCTGCCAATTACACTGTTACATCAAGTGGTGGAAGACGGTGCCATTGATCTAACTATCGAAGTTGTGCTGATGACTGTGTGTGTCAATATTTTTGTGTTTTCAGTACATTAAAGCTTCTTTAAAAACTGTAGCTTTTTATGGTAAGATTGTAAAGTCAAGCACTCAAAAGTTAAGAATTGACAATTAAGATTGTATGGGCAACCTTCATTTAGCCTCTTGAGAATTTGAATGAGAGTATTAATTACACGAGTCCATAAGAATGACCATACTGGGTCAGGCCAAAGGTCCATTTAGCCCGGTGTCCTGTCTTCTAACATGGCCAATGCCAAGTGCCTTAGCAAGAATGAACAGAACAGGTAATCAAGTGATTCAAATGCATACTGTTGATTTCTACAAGATCACTGGTTCAGACAGTGTGTCATGATTATGAGGGTTAGCCAGCAGCCTGGGGATTAAGGAGTTAACTACACCTAGCCAGGTGGAGTGACCAGTAGGAATGTAGGTGGGACTTTCAACCTGGAACAAAGGAATTTGGGTTTTTTCCTTTGTCCTTTTGTGTGTCTGAGAGAGTTCTCTGCAGCTACAGAGAGGGACAAGCATGTCTCTCTCCAAGACACCATTTTTCATTTTCTGTAAGTAGGGTAAAGTTTAGGTAGTTTCGTTAGGTTTTATTGTTTTAAGGATTGGGTATGGGATCTGAGATCTGGCACTGTTTAAAAGATGTTTTGGCTTTTCTTTGTAACTAAGTTCTAGGCCCATGGAGTTTCCCCATGAGTATATTTTGTTACCTTCCTATCTAGTCATTATGCTTACAACAGGAATATTGTTGTAATAATAAAAGTTCTTTCCTTTCTTTTTATTAACCTGGCATTGGTTAATGGTGTGCCCTGACTTTTATTTTAGGGGTGAGATTTCCCAAATGATCTTTCCCATGGTTTCTTTAGCAACATTTGGGTGGTGGCAGCGGAAGTTTTATTCCCAAGATCTAGGTTTTTAAGATTTTGGGGGAAGTTTTATACCAAAGCCTGGTAGATAAGGCTTTGGGGTACACTTGCTGGCCCCCACTTCTGCATTTATCATGCCAGAGTGGGGAAGGAGCCATGACATGGTGGCAGCGGTGGGATTATTTTGAGAACCCAGGATTTTTAAAAGGGCACAAGTTTTCTTTTGAGTTGCAAGCTTTGCAGTTTTTTCCTTTTGTTTTTTCTTTTGTTTCTGGGCTGCCTCAGGGAGTCCAGCAGAGGGCAACGAAAATCATTAGGGGGCTGGAACACCTGACGTACAAGGAGAGGTGGAGGGATTTGATCTTATTTAGTCTACAGAAGAGAAGAATGTGGGAGAGATATGATAGCAACCTTGAATGGGGGTTCCAATGGGGATGGAAAGAGGCTGTTCTCAGTGGTGACAGATGGCAGAACAAGGAGCAATGGTCTCAAGTTTCAGTGGGGGAGGTATAGGTTGCTTATTTGGAAAAACTGTTTTACAAGGAAAGTGGTGAAGCACTGGAATGGGTTACCTAGGGAGGTGGTAGAACTTCCATCCATAGAGGTTTTTAAGTCGCAGCTCGACAAATCCCTGGCCAGGATTATTTAGTTGGGGTTGGTCCTGCTTTGGGCAGGGGGTTGGACTTGATGACCTCCTGCGGTGTCTTCCAACCCTATAATTCGTTAATTCTTGGCAAATGTTTTAATTTTTAAGCTTCTCATCTCTCACTTTATAATATTTAAGACTTCTTGAATCTGAGCAAAAATAACCTTGCAGTTTGAGAGTTGTTTTTAGCAGTTGCTTTTGCAGAAAACGTTAAGTCTCAAATTGCATGGTTCAGTTCCTTTTTTGGTATTCTCTCTGTTGGAATTAAAGGCATGCTATGTTCCCCAATGCTGCTATTCTGTGACCTTGTGGTGGTTGCATGACTACTTAACCTCCCAAGCCATTAACTGCATGATAGTGATTGGCTCTAGGATAGAGAACAATTTGCTGGAGTACATCTGTGTAAAGCCTAGTGTTCTAAATCAGTCATGTACACAGACTCTCTGATAGCTCAAGAGACTCATTACATTACTGTGTCTTGTACAAGGACATTGAGTGCTTCTGAACATCAATATGGAAAGAGCTCGCCCAGAGAAGAAGCTACTACATGTATGTAAAAAGCTGTGGTAAACTTTTAAAAATAAAATACATTTTAAAAAATGTTTGATAACAGGCTAAGAAAACGTTGGGGGTATTTACCAGCACTTAAAAGCAGTATCTCATCCTTGTGTCTTTGATTGTGCAAATAATTTCCTTTTGAAAGAACCAGAGCTGGAAATAATCTTTGCAGCATATGTATCCGTTTAAAAGCTTCTGTGTCACTGGAAGATTTTTGATGCAATTGTTCATAACGCTAATTCTAGTAAAAATACAGTAAGTCCTTTTGTCTTGAGAGAATCTGTCAAACTTTGAGTAAGATGATTTTTTTTTTTTAAACCAGTAGTTTACAACTCAGCTTTTCTTCACTGAAAGCAGTGGAGTAAAAATAAGTAAGTCTGTGTTAACAGGCAGCTTTTGTTGTGGGATCTTGATCATAGCCATGACGCTAACTATTTTTAGCAGTACTCTTATTGTGAGACCTTAAAGTTCAGCATCTTCGTAAATAACTTGTTCCTTTAATTTTAAACAATATTTTCTTTAAGACTTTCACAGTATGTTCATAAATTCCCTTAGTTTGGTGTCTCTACAATGAAGTAATGAATTTGCCATTATGAGCTTTTTTGTCTTGAGGTTGGGTAGCTTTTATCACAGGCATTTCTCTAAGCTCAGTGTTCAACAGGGTTACAGTTTAATTAGAACCCACTGGAAACAAAAGATGAGCGAATTTTCCCTGAGATTTAAGTTAAAAACCCGCTGGAATATTTAGCAGGTTTAGTAGACTTTATTTTTTTAATGGCATTAATCCAGCACTGTTGACACTACAATACTGTTTATGACTATTAAAAATACTTGGATGTTGAAAAATGCATCTAGTTGCGATGGTGTTACATGCTATGGGGGCTCTACTATAGAGTATTTTTTTAAAATTCCATTATGCAGTTCCCTTTAGCTCTGAATCCAGAACTTGTATCTGCATTCATTATGTGTCATGCATATATCATTAGGGAATTGTTACTTCTGCTTAATTAGGTATTGGTTAAATCTGATTTGATGTTGTAAGGTAATCTGCTTAGCTTTAAATGACAAGGCATAGATTCATTTCCTCCATGTTTAACTAATCTAGATTTGCCTCTCTACCTGCACTGCAGAACTCTCTGAAAGATCATGTAGTTTGACATCCACAGTACTATTAGTCTAATGACTAGCGCTGAAAAGGTCAATAATGATCCCGTAAGTTAAAGTATTACTACGTGTTTGTGGGCAATATATTAAGGGTTGTTTGCCATGATGGCCTACAAATCACTGCAGTCTGGTGAGGGTTAGGGCTAGTGACCACCTGTGTCCAATTCTGTCATTTTATGCTAGTACATGTCTCTCTCATGTCCTCCTTCTCTCCATTCTCCTTCATGCTCTCACTTCTTTTCAAATTGTTTTATTGCTTATCCACTTGTTGAATATTGTTTAAAGTCTAGATCAGTGGTCTCCAACCTTTTTACACCCAGGATCACTTTTTAAATGACAGACCAAGCCAAGATCTACCGCCCCACCCCTTCCTTGAAGCCCCACCCCTTTCTATTCTCCTCCTCTCCATCACTTACTATCCCCAATCCTTATACTGCTACTTTAAAAAAAAATTCCCACCATTCCTCGCAGCTATTCACCTGTGCTGTTGCTCGGTGAGTAGCTGCTCCTCAAATGAGGAAATCTAATGTAAATGTACTGCGCAGGCATGCAGTTTAGAGAGGGCTCAAGAGCTACTCTTAGAGCCTCCGAGATCTACCGGTAGATCACGATCTACTGGTTGGTGACCACGGGTCTAGATTGTAAGGTCTCTGGGAAATGAATTGTCATTTTGTTTGTATAGTGCCTAGAAGGATAACACCATGATTGGGATCAAGAGGTGTTACCCTAAGTAGTAGTAACACATGACTTAACATGCTTCTTTTACACTGCTTTCATTACTCCTCAGTTATCCATTTGTATATCTAGTTACATCTGCTCACTTTAGAAGAAGCAAGGTGCTAGTATGTTTATTGCTGCTAGTCCTGCAGAAATAGTGTTAGTACACTGAGTAAATCGGACTCTTCTGGTCAAAAAATTCCTCTTTCTTTTGAAGCTGAAAGGGTTCTACAGGTAGTAGGACAGCAAAACGTACTGGTGACAGTACACTTACCAGAAAGAACTTACTTTTGCTTTTCAGGTCCCAGATTTAGTTCTATGGGGCTGGTTGCAGAAAAACCTTCATGCTTATGAAATAAGCAACATTGTTGTTTAAATAAATTAATAAATGCAGAATCCTGCAATGCCATTTTTATTACATAGTCAGTATCAGAGTAGAACCTTGCCTAAAGGCCAAGTCTTACCTAAATTTTCTACTGGTTAAACTCAGCTGGTGGTAATGGGTAAAGTTGTAATGTAGACTGAGTGCTGATGGCTATCTGTGAGATAACTACCATGTTGTTAGATACTGCTTCCAACAGTCCTGTAAATAAGATACTGTACTTGTAAAGCAAAAGAACCCCAAGCCATGTATTGTATAGTTCCCACAGGTGTGACTGTACCAGTAGTAAGTTGGGAAATTATGGAGGAAAAGGTCTTGGGGTACACAAGACAGTATAGTATTTGAAGTTTGTACCTACCTGTCATGAGAATCACAGGTCCGATAATGAATACCCAAGAGGGGAAGGACAGAGCCAGGTGGACAGTTTTATCAAATAAAAAATATTTATTTATGACAGAGGTGAATTTATAGTATTTATTCTAAGATTTTTAATAGACCGTGTTAATAATGAATTTACAGTATTTATTATATATATTCTATGGCTTCTAGTAAAACATGTCAGAGATATAGGGATGGGAATGGCAAGGGGAATAGTCTCTAATCTTAAAATATCCAGCTACAGTAATAAGTGGTAACTACAAACTCTTATGTACTACCCAAAAACAACTACAACACTAAGCTTATACAACAGGAAAAAATCAAATCATACATACCAACTTACACAGCACACGGAACATTTCACAGATATCGGTTCGGTTGCGAAGGCCTTGGTTACGCCCGAGAGTCGGGGGAGGTGGCTGGTCGGTTGATCAGGCCAGCAGCGCTTTGAAGTATACAAGAAGGCACATGCACAGTGGTATGTGTGTTGCGAAGACCTCCTAGAGCGAACTGTGCCATGGGTATTTATCCCGAAATCTGCACATCGCTTTCCTGCGCTTACATATTACCATATATGGCCCAATGGTCACCAAGTGGGGGGGTCTGTGTCCCAGGGGTTGGGCCGAAACTGTGCAGGTTTCATGCGACCAGGTAAGCCCCGTAGTTCTCACGCCAAGGTGACGGGTGGGAGAGTGTGAGGCTATTTTCCCCTTTTCACACCTTTCCTTTTTCTAAAGGCAATGGTATGCAGGAGGGGTGTGGCCGGTTTCTCTCAAGGAATACCGCAGAACAAGAGCGGCCTGGCCAAACTTTTTTTTACTGGGGGGGGGGAAAGCTGTTCCAGATTTGATTTTAATAATTAGGGAGGAACTGGTTGAGAATTTTAAAGGGGAAGGCAGGTTGAGTGAACATGATCATGAAATCATAGAGTTCATGATTCTAAGGAATAGTAGAAGGGAGGTTTAGGAAACCATTCTCAACAAAGAGAAGAGGGAAGAAGTTTGAGTACTTACTACTACAACTGGCATCGTTTTTTTACTTAACCTTGCATATGCAGATATGCTTATGTGGTATATGTTGATGGATGTGTGCTACTCAGTAGCCTAGCTTTCTGAAGGCTTAAGGACAGTGTTTCTCACACTGAAGGTCCATGGACCACTAATTATCTGCAGCTGCCTTCCAGGTGGTCTGTGGCTCGAGCTCAGCCCACTATCGCCCCCCCTCCCCCCCATTTAAGCAGGAAGCCTGCACCGGTGCACCAGCCTCACATTTCCTCTGTGAGGTTAGTGGACCAGTGTTGGCTTCCCTGGGGAGGGAAGAGCCCCCAGCCTCCCTACCAGATCTAGCTCTGCTGCTTCCCCGCAAGCCAGAAGTGGCTCTGGGTACTGCTGCTCCCCCTACCATGGCTGGGGAAACAGTAATGCATGGATACACCGGCTGGAGGCTTTCCCTGGTATGCCTGTTGGCCGGAGGTAGGGCCAGTGGGAACAATGGGAGGCTATGCCTGAGACCCGATGCCTGTGAGTGGCATGAGGCGCAAAAGCAAGTAAGTGTGCCACACTCCCACCCTTCTCCTTCCCACCCACCCCCACCCACACCCGCCCCCCGCCCACTCCTGCACCCGCTCCCAAAGCCTGTTCCTGCACCATCCTTTATTCTTGCTCCCTCCCTCCTAGCCCCACACTGTACCTTCTCTTGCCTCCTCCCTCCTGGCCAGACACCCTACTCTCAGCTTGTTTCTGCACCCTACCTTCCACTCAGATCTTGCCCCTGCACCCCATCTCCTGCCCAGATTCTGTACCCCATCCCTATCCTGCACACCGAACCCCTCATTTTTTCCCTACTAAACTTGGAACCCCAGAAGAGTAAATCTGGCCCATCGGGAAGCCCTAAACCTCAGTCCTCGCTGTCCCTCCTCCTCACCCTAGGTGGGGCTAGTGCGCCAGAGGAGTGAGGTCTTTCAGTAGGGGGCCACATCACAGAGGGGGTTTTGTAGGTGTGTGTTTTTTGTTTTGATTCTCACTTGTGTGGTTCCTGATAATTTTTTTTCCCCTATGGGTCAGTGTCCCCTGATCCAAAAAAGGTTCCCCACCTCTGCCATAAATAAAACATTGACACCTTTTGTTTTGGACATAGATTAATATTTTACTTTATTTAAAATGAAGTTTGATAAACTAGCATGAGAAAGTTGAAGTGCTTAATCTGTTTAATAATTTAATATTTCCTTTCTTACTGGTTAAATAAGCTGTTCTCTCTAGCTGCAGCACTAGCAAAATGGTTTGGGGGTAATTATGTAATTAACAGCAGATTTCCATCAGCAACTGGTGGTTCACAGAAAGGTTTGCATTGA